GGCCGCCGCCAGCCAGTTCAGGTTCCCATCCTCATAAGCGTGGAAGGGCTGGGTGTAGTAGGCAGGGTAGTCCATCGCTGGCCAAGGAGGGAACGAGGGGGAGAAGAGAAAATTGGAGTGAGAAAAAGGGAAACGGCACATGAAAGAGGAAGATAGGCTTGGTAAAGGGGAGAAACATGGGGAAGGACCGTGAGCCGCGCGGACAACGTGTGACTGGAGGTGGAGGGCTTTAAGGACATGGGCGAAGGAGAGGGATCCGAGGGGAGAGGCATAGAGCAGGCCCAAGGAGAGAAAGAAATGCCCTCCGAGAGATCGAGCAATAAGAAGGAGAGCGCAAAAGATAGAATGCATGGACACGGCAAAGTCTTTCTCTTATGTCATTTCCGAGAAGGGGGGAGGGTAGAGGGGAAGAGCGGGCCAGAATACTCACTGGCATGGCTCACTCCAAAATGACGGGACAAGGTGTTGGGCAAGCGTCTGTCCTTTAAAAGAGCCTCCGCGTCTTCCCGCCACGCCACGCCTTTTTTCTCTGCATTGTCGATCAAGACCTTTCCGGAGGAGGGGGTTTCCAGGAGGATAAAATCTCAGAGACAGACAAGTTCGTCCCCAGGCATCGTCCTTTCTTCTGCCCTGGTCCAAGAGAACGCTGAACAAACACAAACAACCCCTTCTGTTCCCGCTTAAACTACCTCTGCCTACCTTGCGCGCTCCGATTTTCATAAAATTGTAAAGGAACTTATTGTTGATCAGTGCCGAGACTACACTAGAAATGGGGCCCCCGCCAGCCCAATCTGGCCTGGTATAATGGACACATTGGCAGGTTTAAAAAGTCAGAGGCATGAAGGAACGGAAGTACCAAGGAGATTTTGATAAGTAATGCGTCTCCTACTTTTCTTGCTCCTTGTTGCGGCGTGCTGTATAATCCATGCCGTCATAATAGGACGATGCTAGCTGTCTTGACCTCGACGAAAAAGATGGAAAAGGACCAACAAAAGCATGCGTGCCCCAGGTGTTGACGGAGGCACTCGCAATGAGCAGCAGCCACACTGCGTGGTGTTGGCGTGCCACCATGCTTGTCACTGTATGTTTGGAATAATCAAACCAAAATGAGGGGAGGATCCCTTCGCAACATTCTCACGCGAGCACGAGCATAGCGGGCCGGGGGTAGTTTTTATTCCGGCTTCGTGAGCCATGATTTGAGTCATCAAATATTGAATGTCATTGAACATGATGGTAGATGTACGTATATGTGTGGTTCAGGATAGCCTGTGTGACTTTTTTGGCTAGGCTGACGACGGGCTGAGGGTTCCTCTTGAGCTCTGGGCGATAACCATCGATGATACTCACGCGATCAACCGTATTGCTTTGTTGCCCTAAAAGCTGAAAAATGGGACTTGTCAGGCCACCATGCTTCAATTAAACGATAAACTACTCGTCATCGGATGATCTACCCTCTTGGAAGGACGAAAAGAAGCTCCACACAAGAGACTCCAGGACGGGAAGCGTGAAGGAAGACATAAACCTCCTCTCCTTTTACTCAAGTCTTTCAGGCAAGAAATGCCATAAATGAGAACAATACCATCAGCTACGGGCAAGGTAAATCACAACAGGTCTGTGCTTCTCTCCGATAGACCTCCTTCTATCGAGTTTTCACGAAAAAATGGTGTAATGATTGGGTTCATTTTGCCGTTGTAATTTAGCTCGTGTCATGGTTTGCTAGAACCCATGTCAATAAGGGGAACTTAGAGTGTTATCCTACTCCTGAGAAATTCATTTGCCATTAAATATGTATAGCGGCATGGCATGGTAATTGAATGCCAGATTTTTCAGTGTGATACAACCTGAAACTGGAAACAAGGGACAGGAAGCACATTAAGCGCATCTCTGAGACATCCCCCTCACACGAGGATAGCTTCCCATACTTATGAAGAAACTGAAGAGACTCGCGCGCGCGGAGAAGTAATTGAGAAAGTTAACGCACCGTTTTTTTCCCAACGCGATTTTTTCTATCGAATTTATTGTGGCTGGACCTACAATTGAGGTAACGCCCAAAATATTGTGGTTTTGAATCGCTGCGGTGTTTTGCTCGCTGTGGCGTCCACATTGTTACATCCCTCGCGTAATTTTGTGCTATTTGATGGGACCAAATAAAAGGTCGTTCCACCAGTCTTACACCCCCAGTAAACCTACTTCGCGTTTCCAGTAATAGCCGCGCCTCCGTCACGAGTGCACAAACTACCCTGAGAAATACAGAGTGTCACATCCCTTCCAGAGACCTGCCACTACCCTGTCTTCATTGGCCATCGTCCCGATGACCGTTGTGTGCTCCATAAGAGCGCGTTTTCAGACAGACGGAAATTTCCCACGCGCATTTCTCCTCCCATATTGTGACCGCGTCCGCCGCCCCAACTCACTCCTCACCCTCCCTCATGCACTCCACTCTCATCACCGTTAGGGTTACCGGGCCCCGTGACGGGTGTCTATAACAATACCGCTAATGTCAAACTCTTACAGGCTGACTCACTCTCTTACCACTCGCACACTCGTACTACTTTCACGCCCGTAAGCCAATTCAGATCTCTCTCGGACTCAATGGCTGAATGTCCCGTACACAGCTCAGGTTGTTTCTGAAAAACCTGACGCCGTCAAAACTCACACTAAATTACCCAAAGACTTTGTGGCTTGCCTGTCCCCCGCCTGAATACCGTTACACTTGGGCCAGACAGACCGAACCCCAATACCCAAACCGATAGTTATGTTCCCATACCCAAAACAAAGACCCTCCCCTTCCTCCTCCTCCGCCGGTCCAATGCGCGGAGGGTGCGCCTAGTTCCCGCCCTCCGCCACTTCCTCCGCCTCCATCTCGCTCATCTCCGCCGCCATAACGGTGGCATTCCCTGAGTGGGCAGCCAGGGCTTTGACTTCGCTCAAGTCCTTCACCCCTTCCGGCATCAGGTACATGCCCGGGCCGATCATCAACGGCTTGGAGGCATCCGCCTCCACACCCCCGCGCAGGTTGCGGAGGCGCTGTCCGGGAACGGACGACCACCCGCTACGGGCCTCGCCTGTGATGAGGAGGGAAGACGGGAGAGGATAGGAGGGTAAGGAATTCGTTTCCACTATCACCACGTTGTGCCCCCCTCTCTCTACTCATCTCTTCTTGTTCTCCATTCCCTCCCCCGCCCCACGCCACCCGTCCCTTACCGCAATCCACGAAGTCCCAGTGCGCCTGCCACCGGCCATCGCCCCCGAGCCCGAGGTCGATGTCTCCGAAGCTGCACTCGGGGCAGAGGTTATCCACGGTGGCGTAGATGGGGCCCACCACAGGGGTCATGCCCGAGCCGTCGCCGTTACCCGTGAGCTGGGAGGGAAAGACATAGGAGCGAAGGGGAGGATGAGGAAAGAGACCTCAGGACTCTTGGTTCCTCCTTTGAAGGCGTGTCCCACCCCACATCCCTACCCATGCCTCCAGTCATTCGATTGTTTTCTCTCTCACCTTAATGCACTTCCCACAGCTGCCCGCGCCGTCCCATTGGGCCTGGTTGATGGCGACAGTGATACCCACCCCGTTGAAGCCACGCTCAAGCATGCAGGCACCACCTTGGCCGGCGCCGCCTTGTCCGTAAAAGGTGGCCTGGAAATGAAACCGAGGGAGGAGATAGTAATCACAATGGAGAACAAAATGGTAGGATATTTCGACGGGCAGGGGAAAGGGAATTTCCTGGAGACAGGATTTCATACTTACATCTCCGTCGTAAGCGGAAGAGAGGGTGGCACAGGCCAGAGCAAGGGCGATGGACTTCATCATGGTTGTAAGAGGTGGTGTGTTGGAGGTATCTGCTGGGGAGAGAAGTGAGGGATACGTCAGGAGACTTGCGTACGGCGGGATGCATGTTTTCATTTCGCTGGCTTCGGATCCGCTTGACCACAAAAGAGGGGGTTGCGCATGCTTTCTTCGCATTACGCTCTGACCACCACCGCATCCGCATACGCAGGACAAGGGCGTACAAGTGATGGACAAGGTATTATTATTCACTTGTCGTAGATACCTTAAGGTGTAAAAGATGACCCGCACTGGTCATGAGACGAGAGGGCGGGTGGCCAGAAGAGGAAAACAACTTCCCGTGCGGGCGCACAAATTAATTTCCGCCCCTTCCAAGAACAATTTAATACAGCGCAACGGACGACAACAATTCTCCCAACCACCGTGGGGGAAAGCCAGGACACGAAGCATACAAATCATCCTGTCACAAGAGCCAGCAGGAAGAAAGAAGAAACAACACATTGCAAACAACAAGCTGCACATTCAGATCGCATACGTCGGGCGGCGGGAGGGGCCATTTTTGCTTTTCGTCAGCACCCCCCGACCATGACGAAATCACTGAGTCAATTACTCCCTTGGCCGTCCCCCGAAAAATGCCTCGCCTTGCCGAAAGGCGTCTAAATGAATAAGCGTCCTGCCCATACGATAATCAGAGCAATCCGAAGTATCTAGGAATGGTACGGCCTCAAGTGTTATGTGGTAGGACTCCATGGCGTCCCGCCAGTGGAGGGGCGGCCGCCGCGTCCCGTCATAGGAGCGAGCGGGCGAGTGCTCGATACAGATCCACGACCATGGCCACAAAAGGCGCGTCAAAACCCCGTGTTTGGGCCACATAGGCCATTGGGAGTGCATACTATGCATATTGATGCCCCATGACAAGTTTGGAGGGTGAATCGTGGATGGGAACCTGTGTACACGCGCACTTCGTCAGCAAAGTGCTGAGGTGGTCCTCTTGAAGATCGCGTACAACACATTAACGCGTTCCCTCATCATTTCTTATGGCCATTGACACTCGTTTCAGTCCTGCCCCGGGACATGAAGATCGCCACGCGTTTACGTCCTGTGGATGGACGGGCGACGTCTTCGTCTTTTTTTCTTCCCAGCTCAGGACCACTGAGCCGGCGAGCGGGCGGGAGGTGGCTTTCAAAGGATTTTGGCTCGGGAAGTGCGTGTCTACAAACAAATCTTTTCATTCTTTACTTCTGTCGCCATTTCGACAAGCTTCCACCTAAGAGGATCCAGTCGGCAACTTGCGCGAGGGGCATTATATTTTCCCCTACCATACGGGACACGGTGTGCGGGGTTTTCGGCATTGTTCCACCATGTGCACGTGACCATTGATTATTCTTTGTGACGCATCGCGGTAAAGAGTTACTATTTTGATATGTCGCCAGTCCCAAGAAGTCGAAGCCCCAATCCTGTAGTGAGCGTCATAAACATCGAGTACAAAAGGCATGTGACCAACCTAGGTACATGCTAACTTAGGACATGTATGTTTCAGAGAGGTGGTGAATGTCGGCAATTCAAGCAACATGGTCTCTTTGGCCTCGAAACGTGTAGTTTGGTGAGGGCTGCCCGCACGACCTCCTCACGCTTGATATGAGAACACTCAAAAGAAAATTTACGTGCCCAAAATTGTGGGATTTAATTCCCTTCGTCACAGTATGCCTTCCTTTTACCCATCTTCGGGATCACGCTCCTTTCCTTCTCGCACCACATCCTCCTTCCTGGCCTCTGCGCTCCCCACCATGCCTACCTCCACCGTGCAAAACCCTCCCCGCGCGATCCAAACGTGCAACCCCCTGCCCTCCCCATCTCCCTCCCACCGCACTCGACATACCTCTCTCCCTCTCTTTTCCAGCCCCTCGTCGGCGTACAGCCCTGTCAGAGTCCGCCCTTCCACCCTCCTCACCCTCCAGCCCTCTTCCACCCACCTGGCCAGCCACCCTTCCACGTCCACATCAAACTCCACGCCCCTGCCTCCTCCGTCGTTTTCCATCCCCAAATGCCGAAACTGCACGAGCAAGAGCCTTTCCTCCCCTTGCCCCTCCCTTTCCCTCC